AGACAACTCTCTCTACCGTTTCTCCTACCCTTCCTAAGAGTCAGTTTCTTCAAGGTGCTGCACACTCATAGCTCTCATTGATAGCAGTGCTCAGCCCCTTGCAGGGCCAAGTTCTAAGACTCTATGAACTCCCACAAACAGTGCAACACTGATGGGTGTGGAATAGTGAACCCTGTCCAAAGAGGTGGCAAAATCAGGTCTCAGACCTGGAGTAGATGAGGCCTGATATTTCTAATATAAAATAAAAAAGTACAAGAAAACCCACCTCACACTCTGCATTCTCATTTGTTCTATTCTGCTTTTTAACATTCAAACACTTTTTACGCCCATTTGCAAATCACCTTTAATGCTGAAACACCCCAGCGCCAAAGCAACATAGTACAAGACTATTGTCCCAATTCAGAGATCTTTGGTTTTTTTTGTTTTTTAAAGGTCTAGAAATACTTTATATGATGCACCTAATATACTGTATAAAAGAAAAAAATTCATTGTACTTCACTTTTATTTTAACTTATTTTTTTTCTTATTATGAATTTGTACTTAGTAACTTTTGCCTTTAAAGATCTGAATTTAGAATTTCATACATATTTTAGCACCTGGCTAAATACAGTTTAATTGACATTGGCTGAATGTGTTCCCATTAAGCCAAATATATACGGTCATAATTTTGTCCAGGCTAAGTAGCAGTCATTATAGTTCAATATTGTTTGCCTAAATCAGTTCCATAGGCAATCTCCCAATTAAGCTCATTCTGTTCAAATGGATTGCACTGTATGATGCACATTATTATTGATCATGGGACTAAAGCCAAGGAACTGGAAGCAAGATGGGAATAACTCTGCTAGATACCTGTCTTCATAAAGAAGATCTCTGTTTGTAAGCAGTTTATGCTCACAGAGGCGGATGATTAGTTTACAATGCATTTATGACTTTTTGAAATATCTTCCCCCATGTACAAATCTAACAATGGATGTGTAGGTTCACAAGAGAATTAATTCTAAATAAAGTATTGTATAACAGAATTAGGAACATATATTTTAACTATTCTATTTACATTTATTTTGCACTCAGGGAAATGCATTATTTCTCATTTGGTTAGCTGGGAATTGGAACTTTTATTATTTGTATTGCAGTAGTATTTAGTAGTCCCAGTCAGTAAAAGAAACCTTTTGGCCAAGCTACTATTGCTATTTGGTACACACTGCAATTTTTTTATGTAAGATACATTTTTGTGAAGTGTTTTGAGTCCCAGGTAAAGGTATTACCTTGTTCTGTTTAAAATCTCTATTTATGCCATCACTAATTTTTAGACTGTTTCCCATAGTTTGAAAGTCAGTATGAATAGTTTTACATACAGCTTCTCTTTATCATAACTCCTTTGTAATTTTGCTTCTTGGGAATTGGTTTGGTTTTATAGAGGGAAGGTATTTTTTTTCTTTTAATCCTTGAAACTGTGAATCTATCCTGGTATGTGTTTGTAGTAGCATACAGCTGCTTTGATAGAAGAGTGTAACTTTTTTTTTATAGAGCCTTTGTTGTGTCTGTATTGGCTTGAAAAGTCACATTCTGTTACTAAAAGAGGAATGATAAAATATTTGAATATGCGCCACATTGAATCAAAAAGAGTCTATAAAAATGTTTTTGTACACAAGCACTGTCCATTTTTTTTAAAGGTTCGGCTCTAGCATGCTTTTAGCCTTGGGTTATTTTTCAGTAGAGCCCTGAAATTTAAGTCTGTAGAACTGTTAACAAACAGCAATTACAGTTATTACCACTTTCACTTATTAAGTTGGCTGGAGGCTGCCTGACCAGCTCTATACATGCCCACCAAACATATTCAGCCTTACCAGCCCCAGGCCCATTCATTTATCACTGAACTTAGGGCTTTCCAGTATGGAATCAATAGATGCTGTACCTTTTGAATTAGAGATCCTGTAGATGTATAAATGTGCTTACAAGTCACTGTACAAAATGAACTAGTTACGCAATAATGTCTGTACTGGGACCAGTTTACAGCAGTGTCTGTTTAGAGTTTTTCCAGACAAAAATACCTATTCTTCTTAGAAAATGTCATTTGGGAAAATCTATTAAAGATTGGGGGGGAGGGGTGGAAGAGAGAAGGCAATATTTAAAATCTCTGTGGAGGAAAGACGGTTCCTAGGAATCACTAATAAAATGTATACAGCTTTTGTTTATTTAGTTCTATTTTTTATCTTTATAAGGTTTATCTAGCTAACGTGACAGTCAGATCTATAATTCTGGTTTACTGTGTTTTGTAATTACATGAGCATTCAGGTCTAATAACAAAATTGGTCATCGTTGTTTTGATTTTGTTTTTTTCTTAAATTATTTACATGTGAGACTTAGCAAATGGAACCTTGCTACTTGTGTGAAGCTGCCATTTAACCATGAAGTGAAATGCTTTTATTGAGTTTGCCCTGCGGATATGGTCTGCTGTGGCAGTGCTGTCCATATTTGGTGGCTGTGCAAGGAGAGCCAGGTGGTGCTGCAAAGCATAGCACAGTGAAGCGTAGACAGATCTAGGTTTGACATTTGTCATCCTGTACTGCTAAAGGGAAGAGAAAAATCTGCTTTTCCATATGCTTATGCTTTAATTTTTGCCCGCAGTTTTGTCCAGATGGCCTTGTGAACATTGTTTACTTTAAGATGCTGTCCCAGATGTTTTTGGATGCCGATGGATAAATGCAACAACTGTGGTATACCAATACACAAATTATTTACACAATTTTGGCTTTTTTTGTTTAACCATCAATTTTCTCCACATACAGAACTGTTTTAGTGTGTGTGACAGGGGGGAGGGGAGTGATTTTTATTTATTTTCCAGTGCTGAACAGTACCTTCAGGTGGCAGATATTTGGAGATTTTTCTCCTCCCCCCAAGCTCTCACACTTTTCTCGCCTTAGGAGTTTTATGTGATGGTGCTGCTGCAAGACACTGTAGCATGTAGCTTGTAAGCATGTCAGTGAAAGGATATTACTGCATGTATCCTAGTTTGTGGGAGCCTATTTAAATTATGAAGGGTTCCCAAGCTGTTTGTCATTTGCTGTGTTTACTTTTTCAAAGAGAATTTACTCTCTCACTGTGTCCTTGTACTGTCTTCAGTTTCCACACCAGTGGAATAGAGAATATTTGTAAGCTGCGTAGACTGTGTCATTGAGAGCATTTAAAAAAAAAAAATTAAATGGCAAGTGCCTCTAACTGCATTTTGACAAACTTGAAAAATACATAACTTGAAAAATAATTATGCCTTGGTATCCTTAAGGAGTGCATGCAAATTGCATCAAAGGTTTGTTGTCAGCCACAATAGATATTTTTAAATTGCATCTACTTTTTTTCTGCATTTAATTATATTTTTCCATATTCTAAGGAAGTAAGTACCTAGGAGTATACATAAAATAACCTTTTGGCATGAGCATTTCATTAACGTAAATAGGTCTGTTAGTTATTTCCCAAGAACACTTTAATGAGACTTCACTGTGTAACTCATTAGAACAAATATATGAATTCATATGTCATGATGTAGATAGCAGCATCACAGTGCTTGGCATCCATTAAGTCCATAACTCGTTTACATTGACATGCATTATTAATCAATACTTAAAACACTGTAGATGTCAGTAATGTTCATATTTAGTAGAGCAATCATGACAATATGAAAGTTGCTAGTAGAATTCTAGGCTAAATAGTGTATCTCAAGTCTTTACATTACCTCTAGGCTACAAGTTAATGACTGCCTAACTTCACTGCCCCTTGTCTATTTAAGTAATAAGGCAAATAGGAAAATACAAGGAAACTACTGGTAGTACGTTCTATTGTGGCTTATTAAATCTGTTTTTTGTTAAATTTTAAACAAATAGCAGTATCTTATGCAGCTGGGTGTAGCTTAACAGATCCTGTGCCAGTGACAAGGGGCAGGAGAAGTAAATGTGTCATCTGGGAAAACAGATGACAGTTCGTATCCAGCTGTTGAATGGGTTGTGCAAGCCAAATTGAACAAAGTACAGTAATTGAGAGAGATTCACTGTACTCAGGTGGGAGCTTTTGCGCACCTCCCTTCAACAGCACCTAAAAGCAAAGTAATAACTACTGCCTGGTCTTTCTAGTATGTGTATAGTGCACATAAATCTGAAGTCTTTACTGTTCTTAGTGACTAAAAGGGCATGCCGCAAGACCCATCTCTTTGTGTGGATGGTAGAAGAGGGTGGAGCCTGGGGATGCGTGGGGTCGTTTTTTTTTTCTTTGTCTTTTTATGGTGGATAGAAGTTCGGTGGAAAAAGTATCACCCGTTGGTTGTGTTGGTGGTAGAGTTTGTCTGGGAGATTTACTGCTGATTTTGTTTTTGTTGTATTGTTATTTTAAAGAAAGTCAAAAGTACCCACAGTAGCAAAGGTTTTATATGTTATACATTGCAATAAATAAATAAATCAGTGGAAAGAGTGAACTGGGAAAAACAGGGTATAAGTAAGATCCCATTTCTGCAAACACTTAAACGCACATGCTAACTTTAGTTATGCACTAAAGTCGATGGAACTACTTCTTCTGCATTAAGTGAACCATGTCTGTAAAAGTTTTCAGGATTAGGGCCTGTATCAGTACTTTCTGTGTGAGTATCAGTACTTTCTGTGGTAGGCATGGTGCATTTGTATAGTAAAAAAAGACAGATCCTGCCTTAAAGAACTCATGATCTATAGTGTTAAGCTATTATTTTTGGTAAGTAGACATCTCAGCAATTGAATATAATATTCCATATCAGACATATTTAACAATCTCGTATTGGGTACTGGAAATAGTTTTTACGTAAAAGCTAGCTTGTTTGCAACCTTTCCTTTTTTTTCTCTAATAACTTTAAATCCAACTGTTCAATCAAGCAAACTGGTATCACTTTTAGGTAAAGGGAATCACTATTTCTTGCTAAATATCCGAATCATAAATATCTGATCTTTTGGTCACTTAATGTTAATCTACAGTTTTATTTATAGGTTCATCGTCAAAAATTATACGACTTCGCGAAGAAAATAATGAAGGAAGTGAAATATTGAAAGGAAAAAGTTCTGCAAATGGCGCTTCAATTCCAGTTAAGGGGATAAATAATTTAGGAAATACATGTTTTTTTAATGCTGTCATGCAGGTAAGATGCAAAAATGACACCAGCTTTCCTTGTTGATAGCATTTTAGAAATATTTCATTTAATCATTACAAATGTGAATTTTATAAAGGATATTTGTATGTTATCACTTCAATTATTGCTTTTTGACCTTTTATCCTAATAGCTTTTTCCCAACCCTTTCCTTCTTCCTTGCCTCCCCTTCCCCCCAAAATATTTTCTTCAGTAACAAACCCTATGTCAGAGGCTTTACAAATGCATGAGACAGAAGAAAATGTCAGGTGTTACATATCATGTTTGTGTGTGGGTTGTAGCTGTATTCAGTTGCAATTCAATGTGTGATCTTTGCAATTCCATATTAGGTAGCCATGAGTAATGCACTGAACTTGTCCTACCTGCAGGAGTGAAAAGGATGTTTTATGCGTGAGTTAGGATATTGAGCACGTAGGCATTGTCTACACATAAGAATTGTATTGCTTTTACTATAACCTCCCCCGTCCCAGCATGAATACACGTATTCCGGTATAAAAGTACTTATAGTAATTGACATAGTTTCTTCCCTAATGGGAAGAGCTATACTGCATGAGCTATACTGGCATAAGCACTTTTATACCAATATCATTGCATCCACACTAGAGTTGTACTGGAATAACTAAGGGTTTGGCTATACTACGGAGACTACGCTGGCATAGCTATTGTGACATAGCTATGCTGGCATAACTCTATAGTGTAGACGCAGCCTATACCAGTGGAAGGGGTTTTTCTATCGGTGTGGGAACGCTACCTCCCTGAACGACAGTAGCTATGTTGACCAGACGCATTTTTCTGTCAACACAGCTGTGTCTCCATTGGGTGTTAAGTCAGCATAGCTATGTTGATCAAGGGTGTGTTTCCCCCCCCCCGATATAGCTATGTTTACCTAACATTTATGTGTAGACCAGACCTAATTCATTTTGAAAAACAGTACACCTCTAGTGGAAATAGTTATACCAGTACAAAAATCTATGTGTAGAACAGCCCGAGTCACATTAAACCAACATTGTTTGTTTCTCTGACTATATTTTTAGTAAAGGTCAGGTATGTTGAATTATTAATGACTTTTTCTCATTTTATATATATTTATATTTTCAGGGATGTGACCAAAAGCTGTTACGCTAAGTCACAGTGCCCTCTGAAGCATATATCAACACTACAGAGTCTATACTGTCATAGCTACGTTGCTATACCTATGGAAGGGATTTTCCCATCAATATAGGAACACCTCCTCTGAACGACAGTAGCTACATCAACAGAAGCATTCTTCCATCAGCATAGCTGTGTCTACACTGGGGGTTAGGTTGGCATAGCTACGTTAGTCAGTGGTATGGATTTTCCACTCGCCTGACTAATTTTTCTATGTTGACCTAACTTTTAAGTGTAGACCAGGCCTTAGACAAACAGGAAAACTCAAAGTTAAAAATAATAAATGATTTGTTCTACAATGAAAATAATAAACAAATCAGTCACAGAGAGAGTGTTATTGCTGTTCCAACTACTTCTGTTGTTTTTATTTGGAGACTTACCAGCAATGACCACCTTTTATAACAGTGAGACCTATTTCCTATAAGAGATACTTTTTTCCTGGGGCCTGATTCAATACCCACTGAAGTCTTTCTGTTAAATATATTTTTGTACATGCCAACAGTTAGAATTTGTGTCTGAAGAAGTTATGTTCTAGTTGAGATCAGTGTGTCTAACTTTTTTTTTTTTTTTTTTTTGTCTCTTTAAGAATCTGGCACAGACTCACATGTTAAATGAACTAATGTATGAGATGAAGGAAAAGGGAATAAAGTTAAAAATCAGTCAAGCTGAAGATGCGCAATTGGTAGGTGTGTAGTAAGAGGTCCAGTTTGTGTGAAATGTGCAATGGGAGAAACTCAGATCAGAATAATGTCTATAAAAGATAAAGTAGGCTGAGAGTAGGATGATGATCACACCCTTGGCCTACAATTTCTTTTCTTTTAGTTCTCAGTCTACAATACATATGACCTCACTTATTTTGTAGAGTTAATGTTGTAAAATCAACATTAAAAGAGGAAGAATGATCACCATCTAACATTCTGCTGAACTAAAGAAGGAGCATAACTGAATGCAAATAATGCCTGACCTGAAGAAGGAGTGAAAGAAAGGAGTGTGATGTAGTAGATTTTTTTTTTTTTTCAGTTCTCATTAAATCTGGTTTTTAATATGCACAATACAAGAAACAGTATGTTTGTGCTTCATTAAATGTGTAAAAAAATTTCATTCCAATCTACCCCCAGCCCTTTGTGTAAAATTTGTGAAATTTACCAAACACTGAATAGCCAGAGCACTAAACCAGTATAAGAGGCCCCACTACTCAGGGCAGCCCCCAAGTCAAAAATCAAACTCCTGTTCCTCAAGTTGCTGAGGTTTTTATTGGGCTGCTATTCCTGAACCTTTTTTAGGGTCTCCTATCTCTAGTTAGTGGATATCTAATAAATTTGACACCCGTTTTTCTCAATCCATCTGCTGCATGCATTATCTGGCTATGGAACAGAGTGGAAACATTCTCTCCTGTTCCCTATGCCACCCCGGCTGCCTCCTGGTTGGTGGGAGAAGGGTGGGGTTGGTGTTGGGACTCTATTCTACCGTACACATTGCTTCTCTGCCTTGGAACACTCCTACTCCATTGCCTGGCTCTGCTGCTGCTCATAGCTTTTTGAAACACAGTGTGATATTAACAGGATTCTTGTCAGTTTCACTGCTGCTCACAGGATTCTGAACAGCAGCAGTGAATATCGATAGCTTAGCTCTGAGCACCAACAGAGTCTCTAAAGCTTTCTGCCTGCAGGTTTAGGAAGGCAGCATTGTACTGGTTTAAACTCGGTTCATGCTTCACGTGATACCTATGCAACCATAAAGGTTAGAAATGTAATTTATTTTTAATGAAAGCTTATATTCTCAAGACTGCAAGATCTGTGGAGCAGGGACTGTCTTCTGATCTGCTTATGCGGTACTTGGAGGCTTGGAGCACTACAGTTGTATAAACAATAATAATATAGAAACTGATGGCTTCCTACTTGCATTTCAAGGTCCCATTATTGTTATAAAAATAAGAATACCATATGCATTTATGCATCATAAAGCTTATCTTTTAGAGAGACATCCTCTCTAGTAGTTCAATAAGAGGTTTCAGTCTGTATGAGGAAGCTATGTATCTCTCTTACCCACTAAGTTAAGGTGCAGATGGTGGTAGTTTGGGAATAAGAGTAAAACAGATCTAAGAGCACAAGAGTGTGATGTAAACTTTCACTTGAGTTTCATATACCAAGTAGCTGATGCAAGAAATGGGCCTTTTATCATATATGCTTGACATCAATACAATCATTGCATTGATTGCTTGTGGAAAATAAGAAGAGGAAAACCCTGCAGATGGTATTTATCGATCTTGAGAAGACTTATGACCACATTCTGAGAGAATTCATCAGGTAGTATATAAGAATGAAACAGGTATCTGAAGACTATATCAGATTCATTCAGGATATGTATGAGGGTGCTGTTGGGCCATGTAGAGAAACTCAATAGTTGCTAATAAGAGTCAGAATCATCAAGCTTTGGCACTAAGCCCCTTGTTGTTCACATTGGTGCTCGGTGCACTTACAGAAAGCATCGAGAGAGTGGCACCTTGGTGTGTGCTTTTTGCAGATGATGTAGTGCTCTTGGGGGAGAGCAAAGTGGAAGATTTAGAAAGATGGAGGTGCATACTTGAAGAAATGGAATGAAAATCAGCAGATACAAACTCATAGAATCGTAGAACTGGAAGGGACCTTGAGAGATCATCTAGTCCCCTGCATGCATGGCAGAACTAAGTATTATCTAGACCAGTGCTTCTCAAAGTCGGGCCGCCGCTTGTTCAAGGAAAGCCCCTGGCGGTCCAGGCCAGTTTGTTTACCTGCCATGTCCACAGGTTCGGCCGATTGTGGCTCCCACTGGCCGCGGTTCGCCACTCTAGGCCAATGGGGGCTGCGGGAAGCGGCGCGGGCCAAGGGATGTGCTGGCCGCCCTTCACGCAGCCCCCATTGGCCTGGAGCGGCAAACCGCAGCCAGTGGGAGCCACGATCGGCCGAACCTGCGGACGCGGCAGGTAAACCGCCCCAGACTGTCAGGGGCTTTCCCTGAACAAGCAGTGGACCGGCTTTGAAAAGCACTGATCTAGACGATCCCTGATAGGCGTTTGTCTAACCTGCTCTTAAAAATATCCAATGATAGAGATTCCACGACCTCCCTAGGCAATTTATTCCAGTGCTTAAACACCCTGACAGGAAGCTTTTCCTAATGTCCAACCTAAATCTCACTTGCTGCAATTTATGCCCATTGCTTCTTGTCCTATCCTCAGCGGTTAAGAAGAATTTTTTTTCTCCTGCCTCCTTGTAACAACTTTTTATGTACTTGAAAACTATTATCATATCCCCTCTCAGTCTTCTCTTTTTCAAACTAAACAAACCCGTTTTTTTCAATCTTCCCTCATAAGTCATATTTTCTAGACTTTTAATCATTTTTGTTGCTCTTCTCTGGACTTTCTACAATTTGTCCACATCTTTCCTGAAATGTGGCACCCAGAACTGGACAGAATACTCCAGTTGAGGCCTAATCAGTGCAGAGTAGAGAGGAAGAATTACTTCTTGTGTCTTGCTTACAACACTCCTGCTAATACATCCCAGAATGATATTTGCTTCTTTTTTGGCAACAGTGTTACACTGTTGACTCTCATTTAGCTTGTTGTCCACTATGACCCCCAGATCTCTTTCCGCAGTACTCCTTCCTAGGCAGTCATTTCCCATTGTGTATGTGTGCAACTGATTGGTCCTTTCTAAGTGGAGTACTTTGCATTTGTCTTTATTGAATTTCATCCTATTTACTTCAAACCATTTCTCCAGTTTGTCCAGATCATTTTGAGTTATAATCCTATCCCCCAAAGCACTTGCAACCCCTCCCAGCTTGGTATTGTCCGCAGATTTTATAAGTGTACTTTCTATGCCATTATCTAAATCATTGATGAAGATATTGAACAGAACCAGACCCAAAACTGATCCCTGCAGGACCCCACTTGTTATGCCCTTCCAGCATGACTGTGAACCACTGATAACTACTCTCTGGGAACGATTTTCCAACCAGTTATGCACCCACCTTATAGTAGCTCCATCTAGGTTGCATTTCCCTATGTTTTTTTTTGTTTGTTTGTTTTTTTTAATGAGAAGGTTATGTGAGACAGTATTCAAAGCTTTGCTAAAGTCAAGATATACAACATCTACCACTTTCACCCTATTCACAAGGCTTGTTACCCTGTCAAAGAAAGCTATCAGTTTGGTTTGACACGATTTGTTCTTCACAAATCCATGCTGACTGTTACTTATCACCTTATTATCATCTAGATGTTTGTAAATTGATTGCTTAATTAATTGCTCCATTATCTTTCCGGGTACAGAAATTAAGCTGACTGGTCTGTAATTCCCTGGGTTGTCCTCATTTCCCTATTGGCACTATATTTGCCCTTTTCCAGTCTTCTGGAATCTCTCCCGTCTTCCATGACTTTTCAAAGATAATCGCTAATGGGGGGGAGGGATAGCTCAGTGGTTTGAGCATTGGCTTGCTAAACCCAGGGTTATGAGTTCAATCCTTGAGGGGGCAACTTAGGGATCTGGGGCAAAATCAGTACTTGGTCCTGCTAATGAAGGCAGGGGGCTGGACTTGATGACCTTTCAAGGTCTCTTCCATTTCTAGGAGATAGGATATCTCCATTAATTTATTTAATTTATGGCTCATATATCTCCTCTGTCAACTCCTTGAGTATTCTAGGACATATTTCATTAGGCACTGGTGACCTGAAGACATCTAACTTGTCTAAGTAATTTTTAACTTGTTCTTTCCCTATTTTAGCCTCTGATCCTACCTCATTTTCACTGGCATTCCTTCCCCTATCATCACCAAGTCCTGTGCTTTGGATGATGTTGTTAGTTGTTTTAAAAAAAAGCCTCATTGACCTCTTCTTCTTGGTTAGGTGGTCTGTAGTAGACCCCTACCATGACATCACCCTTGTTTTTTACCCCTTTTATCCTTACCCAGACACTTTCAACAAGTCTGTCTCCTATTTCCATCTCAACCTCAGTCCAAGTGTATACATTTTTAATATATAAGGCAACACCTCCTCCCTTTTTTCCCTGCCTGTCCTTCCAGAGCAAGACCATAAGAGTATATGGTCTATAGATTCTATGATACCTTGCAGAAAGATAACAAGATTGTAAGTCTGAAGGCCAGCCACTACCAAAGGTACAGAATTTAGGGACCTAGATGCAATAATATAAGATAATAGTGAACTCAACAACATAAGAGCGGCCATACTGGGTCAGATCAATGCTCCATCTAGCCCAGTATCCTGTCTTCTGATGGGGCCAATGCCAAGTGCTTCAGAGGGAATGAACAGAACAGGGCAATTATTGAGTGATCCATCCTCTGTGATCCACTCCCAGCTTCTGGCGTTCAGAGGCTGGGGACACCCGGATCATGGGATTGCATCCCTGACCATCTTGGCTAATACTCATTGATGGACTTATCCTCCATGAACTTATCTAATTCTTTTTTTAACCCAGTTATACTTTTGGCCTTCACAGCATCCCAAGGCAGTGAGTTCCACAGGTTGACTGTGTATTGTGTGAAGAAGTATTTCCTTTTGTTTGTTTTAAATCTGCCTATTAATTTCATTGGTTTGAGATTTTCATTCTTGTGTTACACGAAGGAGTAAATAACACTTCCTTATCTGCTTTCTCCACACCATTCATGATTTTATAGACCTCTATCATATCCCCCCTTAAATGTCTCTCTTCCAAGCTGAAAAGTCCGTCTTTTTAATCTCTTTTCATATGGAAGCTGTTTCATAGCTTTAATAATTTTTGTTGCCCGTCTCTCTGTCTTTTTCAATTCTAATATATCTTTTTTTGAGATGAGGCAACCAGAACTGCATGCAGAATTCAAGGTATGTATGTACCATGGATTTATATAGTGGCATTATGATATTTACTGTTTTGTTATCTGTCCCTTTCCTAGTGATTCCTAACATTGTTAGCTTTTTTTGACTGCTGCTGTACATTGAACAGTTGTTTTCAGAGAACTATACACAGTGACTCCAAGCACTCTTTCTTGAGTGGTAACCGCTAATTTAGAGCTCATCTTTTTGTATGTATAGCTGGATTATGCTTTCTGATGTGCATTACTTTGCATTTATTAACTGTTAAGAACAGAAAAGGCATTGTCTAAATGGAGAGAAATGAGCAGAGTGATCTGTGATAGTTTTCAATTTGACAGACATTCTCCAAAGTTCTACAAGATGGTAATTTATGCCTGTACTTTTGTATGGGTCTGACTGTTGGGCACTGAGGAAGAGACAGGCACATATCTTGAATATAGTGGAAGTGAAAATGTTAAGATGGATCCTTGGAGTTACAAGGATGAACCATGTTTGGAACAAACAAATTAGGGAAAGAATAAAGATGATACCTATTATAGGAAAGTGGAGGGAATCCAGTCCTAGATTGTTTCGGCATGTGAAAAGAAGACTGGAAGAATGCATAGAAAACCGGGTGTTAAACTTCTAAGTGAAGGGTCAAAGAAGGGTTGGAAGACCCCAGTTGGATGGATGGATGGATGGATGTCATACAAAAGGATTTGATTAGCTGTGGAGTTTCTGAGGAACTGTTTCAAGACAGACTGGAATGGAGAAGGAGAACTCCAAGAGCTAACCCGATAAAGATGGGACTAAGGCTAGAAGAAGACTCGTATATGCTTGACAGCTAGTTTTGGTGAAAATGGGGAGGGGCCCGTAATAGCCAACTCTGATGTCCCAGAAGTCTAAAATAAAGGAAATAGTTAATTTTATAGGAAAGATATAGTTAATTGTACTGCTACCAAATAATTCATCTGTCTGTTACAGTAATGTGTTTGGTGGGTGGTCATATAATTTTAGATTACTTCCCTTCCTTCGTAATAGCTATTGCTTTGCAAATAGGAGATAGAAGGTGAGGAAAAATTACAAATTACAAAATCTGATGTCTACTAAAATACTATAGCACAAGAATGTACAAAACCCAGGGAAGAGAAATAAGAGCTGAGCTATATTGTTTGCTTCCTTTGACTTCATCTTGGTGTGGTTTCTTACTCAAGATTTGAATTTGGGAAGCCAGACTTAGATGAAAGAAGTGAGAAATGTGATAGATGCTGTGCTGACAATACTTGAGGTGCTAAAGTACCTGACAGGATTATTCCAACATCACAAACCCACCCTATAAATGCAATTGACATAAAAAAGAGAAAAAATGAAATGGGACAGATCTAGACCTTCTGAACGTTTAATGAGGAATATATCTGTATGTGAAAACCAAGCTAATGAATTCATTACTATATGTTTCACTAAGTTTTATATTAAATTTCACTTCAGTCTTCAGTTAGTAAGCCACTTTCCCCTCCCACCTTCCCGAATTAATACTAACCATCAATTTATATGTCCGTATGAAAAGTTGCTTGATTCTGAAGCTATTCTTTTAAGAAACAAAGGTGTATATGGGATTTTTCTTTGACTAAGATTCAGTCAGGATAAACTAAACTTCTGAAATTTAATGTATAAATTACTAACCATTGAGTTAAATTTTTTAAGCCTTACTATCAGTTACATTGATCTTTAGTGTAAATGTATTAATTACAAAACAAGTCTTGTGCATCAGTTATATCAGCTAATGGCATCCATGTTACTGATACATAATTCAACTTTGTTCCAAAGGATCCTTTGGTGGTGAACCTCTCAAGCCCTGGACCTTTGACTTCAGCCATGTTCTTGTTCCTTCACAGTATGAGGGAAGCTGGCAAAGGCCCTCTTTCTCCCAAAGTTTTGTTCAGCCAGCTCTGTCAAAAGTAAGTGCAATCAATAGTTTTGTTTTTAATGAAGTTACAAAGGGTGCAATCTCTAGTATTTAAAAAATATTAATTTATTGATTAATGTGGGTCAGACTAAAATATAAGCCCATAATCTGACATTATTAATAATATTTCAAGATATGCTAAGTCACTACTCCTTGCTTTCAGTGCAGTAGTATATTCTTCACTCAGTTTTAAATAACTCAAGTGATGGGACTGTTGCTACTTGGGAGACACTTGGATGGTGGTATCCCTCATTTAGGTGTATCACTCATATTGAAGCCAGTGGGAGTTGCATCTGTCTGTCTGACTTTGCCCCTTACAATCTAATAGATTTCACGCTTTGGACATTTTTCTAATATTCAGCACAATTTTTCTTTGTTAAATTTAATCCCATTCATTCTAGTTAAACCTCTTTTGACCACTCTAAACAATTACTTTCCTTCCTGGATGTTAAAACACTTAAACTATTTGTGCATAACTTACACAGATTTAGTTGGCATTTATCCTTATACATTCAGTATTTTGGCTTGAACTCCAATTAATTGCAATGGGCTTTTTAAAGAACAGGTGGTGGGTAGAAGCTAAGAAAAAAGTCATTAAAAAGATTTAATTTTCAGGCTTCTGGGAAGGTAATATAGTAGGAATAAAATACATGGATAGTGGCTACCCTGTGTCAAATGTATGTATGTATGTATGTGGTTTTTTTTTTAAAGTGTTTAAGCTTTTAAATGTGAATCCTGTGCTATGATGTTTTGCTTTGGCTTTGATCCAAAACTAAAAGGGCCTAGCAAGCAAGGACTTGAAGCACTATTGAGATGGCATATGGCTCCAGATTGAGAAGAACTTGCAAGCCCTAAAGAAATGCATGTTTCTTAGGGTGGAAAATGTTCACAGTGTTGCTTTATGGGTGTGTTTAATTGTGGACAGACAAATTTATTTTTTAAAACACCTGTAGAAGTGCTATAACTGGATCAAATTTAAAAGTTAAATGTTTAAAGGACTACACTGTAAGTAAAATAATCTGTAGGTTATGATAGAGCAATGTAGAGCAATACAGTTGCAATTCACATTTTAAAAAAGTATGAAATATTATAATGTGGTGGTAATTTTATTTGCTGTGAAATTATTGTACACCACTCAATGCCTTTATGTGAGAACACCTATTATTATAGTAACAAGTTGTAATGAGCCCTCTACAGTTCTTGCTTGCACCTGTGCACAAAAAAAGAACTCTGTGAAATCCTCCAGTACCCCAAAGCTTTTTATTTTGATCAGAAACCAGCACTGGTATGAAATAGTTGTGAGCTAAAAAAACTCTTTTGGGTAGTGACATACAGTTGACCATGGTGAGTGGCTCACTTTGCCCTAAACTTCTAGTATCTTGTACAGCCACACGTAGCTTTTAAACTGAAGCAGGATTGACCATTTCAGGTAAGCAGCCCTGCATTATTTTCCTGTTCTTTCTCCCCCTTTCCCCCTGGGCATTATTTTGCTCTCAAATTTTGCCTGCAAAGGTGCCTGGTGCACTTTTTATTGTACTTGATTTTCATTTGGTGTTTGTACTGTAGAAGAGAATATCAAATGCATATTTACTGGATTTAAATAAAAACAGCCATCTTGCATATATAGCATTCTTTACCCTCTAAAAAGCATATGGGATACTTTCCCACTTTATAAAAACAAAATGTGATATAATAATATAAACATACAACACTTCACAGAAATTTCTCGAAACAGATGAGGATTATTATTATTATTATTATTATTATTATTTTCAGCAAAGGGATTAGAAGGAAAATTACTAAATATGGGGCCAACAACTATTCTGTATATATCTGAGGGGTGAGAGGGAAACAATAGCATGCTTTTATAAAGTGGTGAGGGATGAAATAGAACATTTTGGAGGAAGCAAATTTCATACTGTGGGGCCTGCCTCAGCAAAAGTATGATCACCTGTCAACTTCAGACAAGATGGAGGTATTCTTAAATGACAGCTTGTGTGTGTGCGTGTGTGTGTGTGTGCGCGCACACACAGATAACGGATAATTCAAGGCTTCAAGCAGTGTAACACATTCAATAGTGTTAAACATTTTTAAAACCAGCAGTGCTGAATTTTAGATCAGGCCTGCACTTTACAGTGACTGTGTAAAAATGTTACCTTAATCACCTGATCAGCTTTTTGTTATTTAGAATGATCGCTGCTGACTTTAGTAAAAACTTACTCTTATCACTACTTTTTACACCTGTTGCCCTGTAGAACAAACACAACTCCGAGAGAGATTCTGATTCTTTTCTGGCTCATGCGTCAATACTAGAACTGTTAGCCAAGTCCCCATTAGCAGGAAATTGTGTGTTCAGTTACACTTGTGCAACCCCACTGAAGTCAACAGACGGCTGCACAGGTATAACAAAGGGCAGCATTTGACTTGCAGAATCCTTTGTTCCTGATGGTGATGCATGAGCCAGAAAGAAAACAGGCTGACATTCAGCAAACTCAACTGAGTTTGCAAGTCTGGAACCTAGAAAAAAATATTTATTTTATTTAAATGGTTCCATAAAAAAATTGTTCTGTTTTAAAAGTATAAACACTGAGTTCCACCCTGGCATTTTTATTTATTTATGTGATTGTGATGGCCCTAACCAGTGAGAATTCCTTGTTGCTGCACATTCTCAGTAAGCTACGAAATAGACATCTAGCTACTTATGAGCCTGGCAAAGAGGGAATTGGAGTAATAGAGCCTTGTATCCACAAATATGTTGTATTACTATTGTCTGGTCCTCACAGGTTAAATTCTAGATAAACTGGAATAAATTCTCCAGCTAAAAAAAGTCTACTTCATTTAATTCAGATGAATGTACATTAATTTATTTAGTGTAATTCTGCAGTTCCTGCTCTAGAACAAAAGTGTCCTGCATTTTAGAAAACAGAACATCTATATTGCAAACATAGAATAAGAGCTTAGTCTCATACAGGAATTATTATTAAAGATAATGCTTTGCTTCATTAAAAGATTTTAGTGAACAAGATCATAGCATTCCTAGTTAAGACTGATCAAAAAACACAGAAATTGCTTAATACAGTAAGCTATCATCATTGTTGAAGCTTGTGTTACAACAACAGTTCAGTCCCCTCTTCAAATTCTTATATTTTAGAAAGCCATTTAAAACTGGGGTTGACTGGGTATATCTATCTGACCAACAGAAGGTGCAGTGATTTTTATATACCACGCCCACTTCAAATAATGTCAATAAAATAGTCTGAACAGTGCAGTCTTTTAGTTTTAGTAACCTGACTACTGTCAGTTTAGTAGAGATTATTGTCACAGGTCTACCAATAAGCTGATTCTTTGATCTCATTGAGATATGGAACCTTCATCAGAGAGACATTTTAATAGTTAGCTAGGAAATTATCTCATTATATGGCAACGTTCTATAGCTAGTGATTGAAATTATCTAGTAATATTTACTGAAAATGATTAAAAACAATCAACGTCAGAAAATGTGATGTTGGCAAAATAAACTATTTGATTTCTGAAGTTTTGCTCCAATAAAAGGATAGCCAAATGAATGAAAGGCACTCTTATTAAGCTAATAAATAAGAATGGCTTGGGAGCGGTTTCTGTCTGTTATATAACATTATGTTTAATTTCACTCTGCACAATGGAGCTTCTCAACTTCAATGTCAACGGGCAGCAAAAATCTTATGAAAAAAGTTAGTGGGCAGCAGTCAATACTAGACCACAATAATAAAAGAAGCTTAAATCACAGTATAAATTAAAGGCCTGGAATTACTTTTTCAAAGTTGACTTGGAGGTTGTATAGTAGTGCATAAGAAAAGTACACTCCCATTTGTACCTTTTGTAAATCGGTATGGACTCTTATTTCCATCCTCCTTACTACTCTTGCTTCTGTAATGAAGATGATGAACATATGCCTCCTTTGGGCCCCATCTGGAAAATATCATTAGAGATAAGTGTAGGGTGATCCTTTGGCTCAAAAGTGGAATATGCTTTCTTCAGAACATCAGCCCATGTTTACCCAGGCATGAAGGAATTAATTCCAAACACTCAGACCCCACAAGATAACACATTGCTTTACCACTTGACTATGCTGGCTCCAAATGGCCACACTTTTTTATTTTTTGCACTCTTTTGACTTGCAATTAAAACAAATCCATTTAATTTATGGGCTGAGAAATATTGCAGGTTATTTTTTAAAAAATTGAATTATGTTTCAGGTTCTAATTATACCTTAATTTTGGTATAACTCTTAATTAGAACTAGAATCAGTTAATTCTTTCTGAAAAGATTGTTAGTATGCTTAGTATTTGGAATTTAGAACATTTTTAGTAATTTACATTTCAGAAATTACTAATATTAATTACATTTAATGAAACATTAAAATATATCAAAGAGCCCTTACTCTTTGTTATATTTTACAGTATATTTAAAGGAAAGATATGAAGCTAAAACAAAATGTTGGATTTTGTCCTTTTTTTGCTCCTTTATTATATATGAATGGGTCTTCAAGCTTTCTTTCTTTAAGAAGTTCTCCTTTTTTGTTTGTTTTTTTTTACATTTTGAAATATGAAGACTATCCAGTCCTCACTTCCTCTCAGCTGGAGGTCCTTGGCAAGAGAAGGTCTGAATAGAAATGGTTATTATTTGAGCTTAATCTCTCCCCTACCACAGAACTGAGATGAAGAGGAAGCTAAATTCTCTCTTAGTGTAGGATTCAGCTAAGATTGTCATAGAATCATCATCCCCCCTCCCTCAGTTTGATGGAGGTAAAGTTGCATTTAGAAAGCAAGTTTGACAACCTTGTGTGTGACATCACTCTGTAGGTCCTCCAAAATTATTACTAAGGACCTCCAACAAAGAAAAAGGAAAGCCCTGATATTTCTAAAAATACATAATCTGTAAGATATTTTTTTAATTATACACTTTTTTGGGCTCAACAGTTACTTTTAATAGAAAAAAATTGTTAACCTACTA